ACTGGTTCCCATGTTCCCATTCTAGCTAATGGGTCGATCTGTTCTAAACTTTGAATTGTCGTGTAGCAAGTACAGCAAGAGACTACACCCCGAGCCAGTGCACGCGGCGGGCTGCGAAACCCTTGTCGCACAAAGAGCAGAGCCCACTCCTTGCTGTTCCCCTTTGGGGATCCTGTGCAGCGCAGGCTCCTCTCCTCTCTCACACAAGAGCCTCCAGCTCAGCCAAGGCTCCCACTCCAGGCCATCTTCCCACAGCTCTACTCAGGGCAGATTGAAGGGCGGGGGGCAGCCCCGCTAGGCGTCATCCTGCCCCGGTTTTAGGCAAAACTGCACGCCTCGACACGAATTGGAGTCCTGCCTTAGGCAGGATGTGGGACCTGGCTAATAGACACTAGCACTTTCTGCATGCCCGAAGCAAACAGCCTGCATGCTAGAAACTGAGAATTTCCTGTTGGGAGGAGAAAACAGCAGACAGGCCTTGAAGGTTAATGTCCATCAAAATAATAATCGACGTGGTTTTTTATTACATTTCTTTTCGTGTCCTGTATAGAGTAGATAAACCGTCACGGCCTTGGAGAGACACGTAGGACATTTTGGCAGCAAAATCTTCTTTTTAGGGAAAATTGCATTGCCACGGTATTTAAAAAAAAATCCTAAATTTGGGTACAGCGCTTTATTCTGAAGCCATGACAAATGGCTGGACACTAAATTTAGATTATTAGGCATTTGAAACGCACATTTCTGTCGTTCTCAGCCTCGCGATCCGAAATGCAAGATGATGAAATGTTTATTTTTTCCCCTGCTACATTTTCGTCTCCGATCACAACGCAAAGTAAACGGAGCTCTGACCTAAGAAACACCTCAGAGCATTAAAATTTCAACAGGCGATGTCAGTGTTACATTAAACGAGATCTCCTCCAGTTTGCTGCAGAGCTGGGATTTGAATAAAACGTTCAATGTTAACAAACAATACACACGTTTGGTACTTTGTGTATTAAGTGGCTCAAAGAGATTTGATAAGGCACAATGCACCATTTGTACAGACCTGATTGAGTTAATATAATATCAGCAAATTTTACAGCGAAATGAATCTGTTTCTTTTCTTTGTGTTTCAAACCAGCACAGATTACAAATTTTAATGATCTGAAAATGTTTGGTATACAAAATCATGCTTATTTCAGTATTAGCAAAAACACAAGAAATTTTTCAACACAAACACCCAGCTGTGTCTATTTTAAAAGCAGTTCAATGACAGCTTGCACTTATGAGCATGCAATCAGCTAATTTCGCTTTTTTTTCTTCTGTGTTAATCAACACTTTCCTTCCTGCATATCAGAGTACAAATAGTATAGTTACTCCACATCAGTAAATGTTTACGTAACCTGTCCTTTCTCAAGAATCCGGTTACACCGAATCATTACATGCTAGACCGAGTAAGAAAACGCACTGGGCCCAGCCACTCCAACGGGATCCCAACTTACAGCCATCAGGCACATTAATAAATCCTTTACACAAGAATAATGGTAATAAATAATAATAAATACATACAGATCTTACCTTCCCTCTTACCCCATCCCATTGCAGAACCAAGCCATATTCCACATCACAAGCGCTCTGAACAATTCCAATACACTAGGTTCAGTGACGTGCATTGACATGCTTGTTAACTGACATTAAAAAAATACAATTCTAAAAAAATTAAAAATAAAGTGTTCGTTCATTGACTTCTATCTTTTTTGTCAGTAGCGACCTGTTACAAAATAGGATAAATAAATACAATTGCGGTAAGGTCATTTGAGGTTAATCCAATGTACAGAGTTCATGCCATTCCCAATTGCAATTGTTTATTATTGGCCATTGTAATTGTTCTTATTATTTATTTTCTCTCTCCCTCTCCTCTCGCTCTCTTTCTCTCTTTCCCTTACACACACACACACACACACACACACACACACACACACACACACACACACACACACACACACACACACACGTTGCCAACTGAGTACTTAACCCGTTTCCATGGGATAGATGGTATACATTAGGATTGAGTTTGAGGAATAATGTCTGCTAAACCATGTTTCCCTTTAATCACCGCAGTCCTACAGAATAAGTATTAAAAAAGGATTGGGAACTTCTGCAGTGACGGGGTGGAATATGCTGTCTGTTGTCTTTGTATATTACTTTGCTCGTAATGGAAGCATTATGTTGTTGGGGTTTGGGGGGGTTTTCCCCCACTGCGGGTGTTTCTCCATTCTCCTTCCGCATCCAGGCGGTGTTTTTCATGTCCAGAATCAGGAAGAGTTTGGTTTGAACGATTAACCCTGAATTCCCGTCCCAAGGAAATCCTAGCCGTGAGCTCGCCTCTTTCCCGTCGTATTTAAAGAACATTGGCAGGGAGGCAGTGCTGCCAGATCATTTCGTTTAACCCGGGAGGACCCGACTCATTATCCTCCCAGCTCCCCCCTCCCCCCCCCCCCCAATTTTCAGATTAAAAAAAGTA